GGTCCTCGTTCCTTCCCCTGCGAAACGGCCTCCTTCGCGGCGGTTATTGTTTCCAGCGCCTGCAACGCACCTCTCTGGACTGGATGCCGTGACCGCTCCAGGAGGCAGAACGTTGTTCAGGGAAGGGTCGAGGACCCCGCGTTGTTGGAGGGGGCGGGCGGGAGCGAGGCCGCGCTGTGGCGGAGGGAGGGAGGGAGCACGACGAGCTTGGCTCCGGTCCGCGCCGGCTGGGGCTGGGCTGCCCTGGGAAGGTCGTACCCTTCCTGTGCAACAGACTTGTTTGCTGGTCTGCTTTTGGAAGCAGGGGGTCTGAGATGGAAATTTTGCATTTCTTTGGCCCGCCCTCGGCCGCCGCGCTGTTTACTTGTTAGAGCCCCGATCTTCTCTGTCCTTTAAATTGTACTGCTTTTATCAGTGGCATACCTGTGGGTCATATTTGAAAGTTAAGGAAGTAGCTACGCAAAGTTGAATTATATGATGAAAACATAATGGCTTTACGACAAAAAGAGGCTTCTTTTAAGAAAATGAAATGGTAATTATAATGCTGAAAGTCTCCGCTGAAAAAAGCTAGTCGATCCTACAGCGAAGAACTGCCTCCGCCCCACCCCGGAACATTCCAAGTTCACAACTAGAAAACTTAAGGAAGTATACAAGATTCTGACAGGAGACAAATTCCAGTTATTGAGATGTTCCACAGTTCTCTTGGAGGAGAAGCTAAATTATGATGAGGTATTTTATGTTAGCATATAATTAAAACAATAAAATATTAAGAATAAAGTAGGGAAGTAAGAATGAGGAAGAGGAACCAAGAAAGGAAATAATTTACAGCAATCTCAGAGATTTAATTCCAGATTGCCAGGAGGTAAATCTCTCTAAGTATGTAGAACTAGATTTCAAAACGGTTTCGAAAAAAGAGAAAAGGAGCAAAGGATGAATTCAGCGGAGACTTGAAGCAATTCACTGCTTTGACTTCATTTTGTATTTAAGATTAAAAGGCTTTGGCAGACCAATAGAAGTCCATGGAGCTTATTCTGAGTAATAACTTATTTTTTTCTCTCTCTCTCTCTCCTTCGTCCTCCACGTCCAATCCATTACTGAGTCTCTTTTTTATCTCTTTATCTCTCTGATGTGTCCAATTCCTCTTCGTAGCAACTACTATTATCTTGTTTCAGGCCACCATCATTTCAGGTCTTGCATACTGCTTTTAGCCACCTAACCAGTTTCCCAGGCTGCAGTCTTGTCCCCTGCTAATCCAGTGTCTACAGTACCGTCAGGTTTATGTTTTATAAAATACAAGCCTGATTTATGTACTCATCTTTTTAAGCTCCTATAGTGGCACGCCACTACCATTAGTATAAAGTCCAGGCTCCTTAAGATGTCTTATATGAGCCTTCAACTGTTTTTGTTTGGCTAGTACAGTAGGAATCTCTTTTGCTTTTACTGTTAATTGAATTTGAATGCCTTTTCATTGTTCCCCAGTTCATCACAGTCCTTATCTCCTTAAAGCTGTCCTAAACCAGACTTCCTCACACAGGGTCACCTGTCTTTGAAATCACTTGCATTTTGGACCTCTGTCTTAGCCCTGCTTGCCTATCCAATTGCATTTCCACCCACTGCCTTTCTCCATTTCCTGCACTTTACATTCAAGCCATTCTGAAGTGCTGGCTGTCCAGAACAGACAAGCTATGCTATTATTTATTACCTTGGAGTGTTACCAGATTAAATCCAATTAATCCTTCAGAACAAAGACCATGTATTCCCTCCAAGAAGTCTTCCCTAACCCTCTTATTCCAATACTTAGGTGCAGTTTAGTCCCCTGTCACATCCCTCTCCTACCACCCATTGCACACATCTCTTCCGACACTTACTTCACTGTTGCTACCTTAGTGCACTTATAACTACCTCCCACCTGGACTGTAAGCTCCTTGAGGGCAGAGTAGGGGACTTGTTTGTCTTTGTGTCCCTGGGGCCAAGCATAGTGGCTTTCACACCCCATTAAACAGTGGCTGCCATTATTGCTATTTTTTTTAATATGTAACACTTCACGAATTTGTGTGACATCCTTGCACAGGAGCCATGCTAATCTCTGTATTGTTCGAATTTTAGTATATGTGCTGCCAAAGTGAGCACAGTGTTACTATTGAATAAATGGGACAGATGGATGAACAAACAGCAAGAGAACAGACAATTCTAGGAAACTGCATGTGCGTTATTAAGCGTGGTGGATGTAACTGTGTTATATCTGGTGCCAAAACTCAGCAATGTATTCCATGTTTATATCTCTAAACTTTTCAACTTCGCTCTTACCCACTAAATATTTTTAAGACTCTTCCCGGAGTCTCTGTGTTCCATCTTACGGATTCCTGAACTAAGATCCATGGGTCTCCTATCGTAGATGGGGGTTCCAAGAACGCTCTCTGAAACCATATGCAAATGTCTTAATTTATTTAAATTGGGGGGGATTAGGTTTGTTTATTTATTTATTTATTTATTTACATGAAGGTACTGGGGATTGAACCCAGAACCTTGTGCATGCTAAGCATGTGCTCTACCTCCGAGCTGTACCTTCCCCCTACCACTATATGCAAAATTTTGTGGTTTTTATAGGAATCAATTTCACAGGTATTTAAAGAATCTCTACACCTTCCCTGAATGATACCCACTTTAATAGCTTCAGCTGCATCTTCATTGCCAACTCCCAGAGCAAGGCAGGCTGAAAATCACACAGAAACTCACACTTTTTCCTCTCCCAACTGCTTCAGATGTTCCCCTTGCCAACAGACAATTATGGTATCAGCATCCACTCATCTCAAAAAAATTGTGGTTTTTAAGTCACGCAGGGCTCCTTGCCTTCCTCACCCTTCCTGTTGGAGTCACTGAATGCAGTTCATTCTATGTCATAAATTACTTCTAAACTGTTGTCTTACTCCTCATCTTCCCTTAGAACATCCATCATCTTCTTATCTGAGCTCTGGACATGGCCTCTGCTCATTCCCACCCATTCTCTCACCACTCCTCCTCCACACCTGATTATGTCACCTCTTTTACCAAATCCTGGTGACCTTCAGATCAATGAAAACTCATCTAGATGGCATACAAAATCCTTCACAATCCTGAGCCTGCCCTGGTCATAGGCATTCAAACATG